TTCATCATTTAAGTATATCATGTAATTTTTGTTGTTCTTTACCTGGCTTATTTCATATAGCATAATGTCTTCCAGTCTCATCAGTTTTGTCACAAATGGCAAGATTTCCTTTTTTTAAGACTAATATTCTTTTTTTTTTGTATATACCAACTTTTTTTCATCCATTTATCCGTTGGACATTTAGGTTGCTTCTATGTCTTGGTCATTGTTAATAATGCTGAAGGAACATGGAGTGCAGGTGTCACTGTTTCTATTCTGAGTGAAAAGTACTGCACCAATTTATAATCCCACCGACAATTCACGAGTGTTCCCTTTTCTCCACATCTTCGCCAACACTTGTTGTTTGTTGATTTATTTGATGATAGCCATCTGACATGGATGAGGTGGTAGCTCATTGATTTTGTTCTCAATTATCTTTCATTCCAAAGTATGCAATTTTATCTTATAAAAAGTTTCCAGAAAGCTAAGAGTTCTATAAACAACTAGTGACCTATGGCTGAACCATGGTTTAATAGAAATTTTGTTGCACTTTCTGGGAGAGAGACAGTGGGCTGTTATATAAAAAGAATAGAAAATTTGGAGGATAAATTCAAGCGGGAAGACATGGAATTAGCTGCTTTAATAACTCCCATGTGGATAATATTCACAGCAAACGTGTTCAATGTGTGAGCCTTGTATGATTAGTGGGTAACAATTTATTCGCAGATGATTTTTCGTACTTCTTTTAATAAGAAATAATAGAATGAAATGGCATAAGATGGGATGAGATAAATAAAAAAATTCAGAGTCACCTCACACATGCTAGGCTCTGAAGTAAAATGTGTGCCTAGTATGGATCAGGGTACCACAGATTTGAAAGCATCTATTCTACAAGAGTATTCTCTGGCACCCATTGCCCTGACTACACAGTCAAGCCTGCTGCATCAGGGAGAGTGTGGACATTCTAGTAGTAGAGCTGTTCTCTTTCATGGGCTCACGTACATAGAAGGAGGGATAATAAAATTCCTATGCAAAGTGCCCATTTTAATCTTACAGCACTTGAAAACAATTTTCTTCTTGAGCTAGATAGAGCCTATTTCTAATGCAGTTAAGTAACATGTTTTTTTTCCCCTACTACTTTAAAAAAAAAACAACTTCCATGTAAGTTGTTTGAGAGTCCGAATTATGTCTTTTCATCTTTGTAAACCCAAGGCCAGCACAGTGACTGTCACACAGTTGACATTCAGTAAATATTTGTTAACTATCCACCAAAGAAACGTCTATGTTTTAGGACATGTAAATTAAAACTAGTAAAAATAGCAGTGGGAAGGACCTAACATTTGTCAGCTGCCTTCTATTATGTAAAAAGTTTTTTTTTTTTTTAAATGTAATACCTCTTTTAATCCTTAGACTAATTCTACCAAATAGATTTTATCCAATTATAAAAATGAAGAAATTGAGGCTGGGAGTTAAGTCATCAAAGGTTACCAGCTTGTATGCCAGAAAAATCACCCCATGTAAGTAAATTTAAAAGAAAAAAATAGTTAAGTAAATTTCTCAAAAAGAATAAGTGGAAATTAAGAGATAAGATCTCAAGTCATCCTACCACAACCCAGCTCAGTGGATACTCAGAATCTTTTTTTCAATATTTCCTTCTTTCCCTCCCTCCCTCCCTCCCTCCCTCCTTCCCTCCTTCCCTCTCTCTCTCTCTCTCTCTTTCTTTCTTTCTTTCAGTGCCTGACAGTAGATACTCAAATATATTTGTTGTATAAATACTTTTCCCTTCTTTCTTTCTTTCTTTCTTTCTTTCTTTCTTTCTTTCTTTCTTTCTTTCTCTTGCTTGCTTGCTTGCTTGCTTTCCTGCTTTCCTTCTATAAACTAAATAAATTCTAATTCTTTATAATAGAATTTGTACATGATTGGCAGATTTTATAATTTTTAAGGGAATAAAATGAATTTGTAATCAACTGACCACTGCTTCATAGCAGCCTGGTCCTATGAGTTTGAGCAATTTAGAATTTATCATTGCAGAATTTTATTACTCTATTTTAATACGCAGTGAAAATATTCCGAGCAATACGTATGAAAGAACAAAATTAAAAAGTCCCATATTTTTAATTTTCTTGCTGGTTCTTTTTGTGTTTCCTCAATAATTATGTAAAACCGAATCACTTAAGTCAACATCATAATAGTTAGAAATCTCTAATGTTGTAGTTATGAGAATGTAATAGCCAATGGGCTTATTGAGAATGCATTGTATCTTACACAAGAAAGCTTGCTTTTTACTTAGATCTTCTGCATGAACACTCTTGTCTTTGTGTAAAGTGTCAAAATTTAGGTAGAACCTCTCTTTGCATGCAATATTGTCCAATTCTCCATACTATTTCTTTTATATCATCGCTCCTCAATTTTTACTCCACTTGCTCAAATAAATATTCTTAGATACTTTATCATGTATACTGTTATATCTATTTGGAATATTTTCAGCATGCATTTTACCTTTTACTGGGCTTTAAAAAATAAATCCATAGAAATTCAAATTGTTAATGGTACACATTCCTAATAACTGAATTCTACGAGATCTTTGAAAAAGAAATTTTCAGTATTTCCTTGATGTCAAATGCTTAGAAAATGTTAATAAGGAATAGAGACACTTTATTACCCAGAAGATTGTGATGATTTGCATCATACAGGTGAGTGCTCCTTTATCTATTTATTTTTACTCCTTGCATGGGGTGATATGGTTTAAAAAAATGGTTTTAAAAATAGAATTGAATTTTCAGTATACCACTGATTAGCTGTGTGATATTGGACAAATTAAGTTCTCTGTACTGCAGATGTCTTATTTTTTAAAAACGAAACAGTGCAAAGCAAAAGATAACTGAACTAATACCCAATTCAACTCTCTGTGTTGTTTTATAGATTATAAAAATATATTGCTATAACACGCATTGTTAAAAATCAAAGCCCACGCAATTTGACTACTGTTTTTTAAAATAACATAAAAGTGAATAGACTTATGATTTAAATTTTCATAACTAATTTTTATTTTGGTCTATAATGAAACTTTTTAAATATTGTGATCTTGTTTTCAGCCAACAACAAAGACCTAACAATATAATTTGGTATTAACTACAAGAGTTGAAAAATAGGATATGGTCCACAAACTATAAAATATTTCTAATACTTTTCTAGCCAAAAGTATTCCAAATGATAAAACATGAAAAAAATGAATTGCAAATATTATTACAAATAAAATATTGATGATAACAATAAAATCGAAGTTCTTATTTAAAATTCTGTCCCCTAAAAGGTATATTAAATTTGGGTGGAAGAATAAATTTCTAAAATTACTACTCAGAAATTTACATTGATCTCCTGTTTCTTATATAATAAGATTTAAACTTATAAGTATGATGTCCATGGCCAAAAAACCTTCCTAGTACAAACTCAGTCTAACTAAAGTCATAGTTTATAGTACTGCTGATGGTTGTGTGTCAGTTCCATTAAACTTAAACTCGCATCCTCCAGGACCCAGCATAAACCCTGACACATAGCAGGGACAAATAAATATTTGTTTAAACTCATTTTCTCATACTAGAAACATAAATCTCTTTGCGTAGGGACTAGTGAGCATGAATATTTGGTCTATGTTAGCATGAAATATTTGAAGAAGTTTATAGTCAATAAAGTTCTCTTATGATGACTTGAGATGTTAAGATATTTAGAGAGTAAAACCTGTGACATCATCTTCAAAGCTTCAAAAAAAAGAAAAAATGAAAAAATGTGGTCTATGGTCAGCTCTATCGCTGCCAATTTCATCTGTGCTCTGTTCTTGGCCAGTGATAGCTTGGAAGGAACATGAAGTCAGGCCCATCTCTGTGAGACAGGGAATTCCTTTAATGGGTGCCTAACCAAACCTTTCTTGGAGCCACCCTGAAGAAGATTATTCTAACTCAATCATCCTCCCTTCTTTCCTTTCTTCCCTCTCTCTTTTACCGAGTTTGGACCTTAACTGTGGTCTAATGGCTTCCGCCAGAACATTCTAGCTACCACCCCATTTTCCCTGACAAGTATTCCCCCTCCCCGCCCCAGCAAAATCTCTTTCATGTCATATCTTATTTGGCAGCTATTTCTCAAAAGACTGCAGCTAACACATTAGAACAGCAAGATTTATTTTTTATATGAAGTGATATCTTACTTTTTCTGCTGGCAATGAGTTTTACGTGATTTCCTCACACTGCTTTGAAGCCCCTGTTGTTTGTGCTCCCATTGGAACTTATGTTTTCATCCAAATACTGCACTTGCTACATGACAGTGAGTTAGAATATATGTGTGTGAACTCTGTGAAGGCAGAGAATTTGTGTCTTTGTTTAGCATAATGCCTGCTCTATAATTGAAACTCGATAAACATTTTTTTCAATGAATGCCTAACTAAAAACAAAATTTTCTGAAGCAAATATATGAACAAATGTACTTATGAGGGGATATAAATTTCTTAAGACCCATAACATATGCCATATAATTAAATTTTCCTCTAAACTTCCTATTTTCTATCTAGCAAAATAATAATGGAACATTTGAAACAAAGAAGACCAAAAAAATGTTTTCCTAGTGAAGACAGTAGGAAGTACAGGATGCATTCACTAAAAGTACCATACAAATAAAAACACGAAATGCCATAATTCATTCTAGAGAAATAAGTTTATTTTAGATGCCATATCTATTTAATATAGTTATGTGAAAGAATCCTAGGAAAAATAAGAACACAATCTTAGAAAGAAAATAAAAGTGATTCTGAGCTTTAGCATAAGAGTGAAAATTTAAGATATATCTCATATATCTGATTTAGAAAAAGGCAACAGGTCAAGGTTACTTTGTCCACAGTGAATCATATACTTCCAAGAGGACTGTGACGGCAAATCCTGGTGATGCAGACAGTCAGTAATTGCAGATATTAGACGGGATGAATGCTAAAGTTTCATGAAATGCAGACAGAGGCATGAGATAATTGAAGCTATTCAGCAAATTGATCCAAAACAGTGAGAGTTAAAGGCTGGTTGGTAACGAGTAGACTGGCAACTCCTGGAAGAAAAGTAAGTTGGGCGGCAGAAGCTGGACCCACAGCCCAGAGTCTGAAAGCCAGGGCTTCCATAACCAAAAGGCCCAAGGCCAATACTTCCACATCCTGAAGATCCAGCGTAATTTGTTTGGCAGGGACTACAGAAGATGGAATTCCTTGGACGGAAGCAGGATGTCTGGTAGGATCTGGCCACAGAACAGGACGTCTGGCAGCTGGTGGGCTGACAGCAGGTCTCTTCACAGCCACTGTAAGGAGAGGAGCCCAGCTGGCAGGTGCTGGGAGAGCAGACAACATTTCTGGGGTAGCAAGAATTGTAGGAGGAAACTGGATACTGCAAGTAGCCTCCAAGAGAACGAGAGGAGAAGTTTCCAGAGCTGCAGTTGTAAGACATGTTGTCAGGAGTTCTGAGTTCGGCTGAGTTGCAGAGAAGAGTTTGTGACTGTGAATGTTCTCTTCTATACTGGACACTTTTATACCCTGGTGATGGGTGTGGTAGCATGTGCCCATTTTAATAAGAATGCCTAATTAGGCTCCAATAAAAAATGAAATACATTAACCTTCAAAGACCTTTTTTATGAATGCAGACTTTTAAAGGAAAGAATTTCATTAGTTTTTCAAAGCAATTGTTCACAAAGCATAAATGTCATTTCTCATTCATCTAGCTTGGGTTGATGAATGTAATTGTACCATAATTGTACCTGAAAGATTGGTGTTTTATTCATCCTGTCTTTGAATATATCGTATCAAATGCATAACACAGTGATAATTTTGGTTCGTTTAAAGCTTCAAAAATCCTTTGTAGTCTGGAGAGGGCATTTATTTTGTTCCAGTTTAGGAAACCAATCAAGAGCAGAAAAAAAATCCTCAATATCTGATCTGTCTTCCAAATCTTGTGGACCTTATAGAAAAAGATCCCACTAAGAACCCTTCATTGGTAGAAATACTAAATGAGTGTCAAACACATTTGACAGTTTTCTTCTAGCACAAGTATCCCAGCCACCTTTGTGTGCATGAATTTTTGATGTGAAAATAAAGGGTCCAATATTTTTAGGAGTGCTTTGAAAATTACATTGTAAAGATACGTAAGTCAAGGAATTCTTGATTTGAACTTTACTTGCTTCTTGATAGAAGTTACCAATAAATTAAATTATCAGAAATTCTCCATCCCCATAAATTTTAAGTAATTTCTGGTGGTGTTGATTCTATTGAGAACTAAATAATAAGCACTATACATAAAAAATAGGCCTTTATACCCTTAGCTTCCTCTCACGGGGTGGGATTTTTACAACAGAAGGTAAAGAAAATTAAGAAATTAGGTATTTACTCCATGTAGACTTCATTGAAAGATCAAGTATTTGAAGAATTCATAATTACAAATCACCTTTATAAATTGAAATGGCGAGGGTTTCAAAATAGATGCTGGTGTGAAGTAGAGAATGAATGTATTTGGGAAGATCTCATATGTGGTACATGTATCAAGTCACATGTACGTTCTGCCTAGAGGGCTAATATTACATAAGTATTTTTCTAGGCTCTTTCATAAAGTTCATCATTGCTAACTGTAAATGGGGTAGTTCAGGAAATGGCTTAAAACAACCTGTGGGAATAGGCAAATCTCTTAAGACATCAATCTTCAGTAGCCGATATGTCATTCAATGGAAATGAGCTGAGACTCATTCACTGAGGAATAGAAATTACTAGGTGGAAGTGTTAAGGGAAGATTCAGCTAAAAATCTAAAAGGAGCTACTTTTGTAGGTAATGAGATTTCATTTTGAGGGCTCTGGGAAGATCCGACCAGAAAATTGTAAATGGTGTTCCAATCAGGGGAGGACTGCAGATAATTGCTAAATACTCTCCCAAAGTAGACTTTATGAGTCTGAACATTTTGAATAGACAAATTGCTCTTCAATCATGTTTCATATATTAGGGAACATAGTTTGTCCTCTGTTTATAAAAAAGTAATTTTTACTTATTAGGCTTTTTTATTATGAATAGGAAAAAAAACATTCTAGTAGATTCAAAACCTTCTCGTTTTAATTGTCAATAAAATATTGAACATCAAAACATCCAGATAAATATTTAACTCACCTAAACTCAATTTGCTTGTTTGCTTCAATGTCATCCTCTCTTATGTAAGCTATTTCTGTGGAAGAATATTCTATGAGATCGGATATTAAATAATGTTGAACTTAATATCTTTTCTCAACAAAACGGAGGTTTTTGCACCCAAACACTTTTGTTGAGAAGTGGAAATTATTTTATATTAAATGAACACATTAGACAGTACAGAAGCCACAGCAAGACAAGCCTTCTTAATCTCTCTCCTTCCTCGAGGTCTCAATCTTCCTTACCCTACTACACACGGGTAGAATACAAGTAAATAGAACAAGAAAAAATATAACCATTATTTTAGAAATGTCGTAATACTTGTCGGGAACACCTGAAAACAATTTAATTCAAAGTGATGTACATGCTTTTCTGAAGCAAAGTAAGAATCTCTTTAAGATGACTCCGTTGGTCCAATACTTCGAGGCAATTAACTACTTTACAAACTTTCTTTAGAACAAGAACAGTGTCCAGATTCTGGGGAATTCTTTTAGTGGTAAATACTGCCTTGGATTAGAGATAAAAATGCATAGGGCGTTTTTGCCACATGTTTTGTGCTTATTTTAAACAATTTTTCAGCATTTTAGATGAGTAGCTCTAACATTACAAAATTGAATAAAATAATTTATAATATTTAACTCATATCACAGTAAACACGAAAGAAAAACAAGCTAAGATTCTGAGTCTGAATACAGTTTTAAGTAGGAGCATGGGAAATAAAGGAATGTCACAGTTAATATTTCACTAAAGCCATTCAAATTGAGATCCAATTGAAAAAAAGATCCTCATATATCTTGCATAATACCATTGCTGCTTCCTGATGACACTGTTTGTTAAGTTACTTTGCCACTTCCTGGCAACAATCAATGCATGTTTTTGTTTAAAAGAAATGACTGTGAATAGATCAGTTAGTTAGTAATTTTGCTATCCAGATGGCAACAATTTTGAGACAGATTGTGAAAGGGGTATCAATTATTTTTAATTTTAGCCAGCTTCTCTCAGCTCAGACACTGTCTACCTCTAACGCAGTTCTCTGAGTGATCTGCGGGGTGACCTTTGGTAGAGGAAGATGACTAACAGCTTTGAAGATTCAACACTATCATCCGACTTCCAAGACGCAAACATTCTGCACTTTCTAGTTGTAAAACCACCAAACTACATATGCATGACTGTAGTGATCTTTTCAATTCAATTAAAAGCAGAAGGTAACATGTTTTTATGTGCTATGTGGATGACACACCCAGTGATAAGGGTATATAAATGCCCCATTCAAGGAGTGACATTCAAAATCAGAACCTTCTCATTGTAGGTCGCATCTGTCAAAAAGTTCTACAACTGCTATTCTGGGAACTTCTCCTCCCGCTCCCTTGGGGTCTATGTGTGCAAACCCAGCAACCTGGTCTACAGAGCTGGTCTCTGCTCTCCCAGTACCTGCCAGCAGGGCTCCCCTCTCTACAGTGGCTGTCAGGACACCTGCTGTGGGCCCACCAGCTGCCAGACGTCCTGTGTGGTGCCCAGACCTTGCCAGACATCCTGCTACTGCCAGAGGACCTCCATGCTCTGAAGACCCTGATGGACAACTTACTCTGGGTCTCTGGGGTTTGGCTTCAGTGGTTTTCAATCAGTGAGTTGTGGTTCCAGTGCCTTTTCCTACCTAAGTCGTAGATCCAGCTTTTCCCATCCAATTAATTTCTCTTGTGGAAGTTGCCAGTCTGCTTCTTACCAATCAGGCTGTGGATCTGGCTTCTACTAATCTTAGGTTTAAATACAGTATCTACTATGTAGAGATTTTAACACAGTACCTACTATATCAAGATCCATACTATCTATTGATCTCCTGTCCTATCATTAGCTTATAAATTTGACTTTTACTGTTATCTACTATAAATTAAGAATAATTTGAATTCCAGTAACTGGAAAATATATTCATTGAATAAAGATGCTAAAACTGTTTCTTTTGTAGTTATACAGACATGCAATACTGAAGCATATTTTTTCTTAATATCTCCCCTTAGTGCATTTGTTTCACATTTTACCAAGTGGAAAAATGTTGTAAGTTTAAATAAAAATGTTATAGTACATCCACATGTTTGCTTTAATATTATTTGTTTACTCTGTCTTCAAAGCTACTTCCAAATGTCTGGATAGATATTTCTGTATATAGTATTTATCATGTAAAAAGTTTTTACCTTAAAAAGTAAAATTGTTCAATGTCCTTTTGGTATATAAGAAATTGTTGTACCTTTTGTGTTTACTCCATCTGTTAATACCTTTATATGATAAAATCTAGGAACACATTTTTAAGACTACAAACAAGCTAATAACTGGCCTTTTATTCTGTAGGGAGTTGAAGATTTTGATATTTTTAGACAAAATAATTACATATTGTAATGAATATTAAATTGACCAAATATATCCTAAAAATGTTGAGAAATTGGCATTAGGCTATCCATTAAGAAGTTAGCCGTTAGTTAGATTTGGTGAAGGCTTCAGTGCCTCCAGCTTCACTGCCATATAAGAAATCAAGTCTCTCAATGAAATATCCTAACACATTCCAACATTTATTAGCAAGCAGTCTCAAAACTTTGTGTTATCAGTTCTATAAGTTTGATAAAGTCCAAATTTGCTCCTATTTTTTAGTTATTTTGTTGATAGCATTTTATCGAAAACAAACAAACAAACGAAAAACCTCCTTCAAAACCAATGCAAATATTCTCTTGTTACAGAATTTAACTAAATATCCAGGCAGCTAATAACCCCCTGAACCAGCAGCTATGTCTCAAATATATATCCATTAAGTGAAAGACAACATTACTAAAGGTATCTAGATTCTTCCCAGGAGAGTAACCACGTGTCTTGGTTCATTTCGTTTATCTCAGCTTTGAGCCCCATTTGATAATTACCTTAGATGTTTCACTTTTTATTTATAATCAATAACAATTGAATTAGCAAACATGATGATTGGTTTAGGGACCCTCCACTTTGCTTTTGCCCTGGTTTCAGTTAGTAAAACTTAAGGTGCAAGTACAGAAATCAGAGTTTAATCATTGTTAAATCAGGAAGAAGACAAGGCATATCCTATCTTCCCTTCGCTCACCTTTCCTGAATAAAAAAGAACTGTCACTTGTCTCTCAAAGAGAGTATGTAGAGGGATCACTGAAAAACAAATTACACTCAGATGCAAATGACATGTTCAAATTTGGTGGAGAGTTATCTGTTGCTCTAACCCACACTGTTAATGGTTCTTTCTCTAGCCCACACTGTTAATGGTTCTTTCCACAACCTGCAAGATGAAATAATATACACCAAGCTACCAGTAGGTGGAGTTAGTGGAA